GTCCATCTTCTGTTGTTATTTTTAATGTACGTAAACGATAACAACAATCATCATCATTAGATGTTTGTTGTGCTAATTGATATGCAGCGGATGGAAGTGAACGAAGTGCACGTGATGTATTACTAGGTGTTTGAGGTGGACCAAAATTTGATTCATTTAAATTTTCAACTGTTATTGAACCATAAGTTTTTATTGTATGTAATTCAGGCCAATATCTTGCACATTTACTCTACATAGAAATATTTTTATGTTAATAAATATGGAAAATGTGTATTTCGATTTTTGTTAGATGATTCTTATTTCACTAGATAATTAATGCAAAATTTGAATATGAAAATTTATTTTGAAAGTCATTCAAGGAGAACTACACAATCTATCTAATGAGATAAAAACTCATGTCAAAAGTAATATATCATCGTGATGAGTTTCTTTCGAAAGAGAAAATAAAGGAATGGATAAAGAATAATACACTATTAGATGTAATTTTCTGACCGTGTAGTATAGAGACTTTTAACTAATCAATTCGATTCTCTATGCAAAAATTTGAAACTTTCAATTTACAATCTAAAAAAAAATACGAAAGAATATTTCATGGTATGTCCAGAAATCTTCGTTTACTTTAAGAGATTTTTAGTTTTAGCTTTTATATCTGAGGCAATGAAGCTTCTTTCTAATAATACTAGAAAATGTTTTTCTTCTTGTTTCAAAATACAGGATGGTTCATAAGTCACCGGGCAGTCTTTTATTTCGGATAGGAACAAGATATGGACCTGCAGTTTTCACCATTCGAAAGAGCGATGTTCGGACTATCGATTTATATATAGTATTCACTAAGACGAGAGATGAAACTTTTCAATTGGCATCCTTCTTTTTGTATATTTTCATAAATTTTCGCAATAATTTCGTTTCAAATTACGCAAAAAATGTAACTTAAATCACCCATTTTTCGTTATAAAGTTATTACATTATACGTTATTCTGTCGATATCTTTTTTCAAGTGAATCCTCGAAAAAAAAGTGAAAATTTTATAACGAAAAATGGGTGATTTAAGCTACATTTTTGCGTAATTTGAAACGAGATTATTGCGAAATTTTATAAAAATATACAGAAAGAAGGATGTCAATCGAAAAGCTTCATCTTAGTGAATACTATATAGATCGATAGTCCGAACATAGCTCTTTCGAACGATGAAAACCGTAGATCCATATCTTATTCATATCCGAAATAAAAGACTGCCCGGTGACTTATGAACCACCCTGTATAATATACTAATGGTGATAGCTACAGTTTATAAAAAAAACCGCTTTTCAAAATTTCGATGTTTTTATTCGAATAGAAAGATTAAAACAACAAGAAGCCACTCTAAACAGTATGTAGTTTGTTTAATAAAAGGATGATCATTTGTAGGGCTTGCAACCTCAATATCTCCTATAAGAAAATTTTATCTCTATTCATTGAATTCAGTCGATCTTGAAAGTTTCAAAATTTTGCTGATGAATCATTTCCTAGAAACATCGAAAAGAGGACTTCCGGAAATAAAAGTTTTCAGTAGAAGCCAAAAACCAATCGAATGATTTTGCAATTATATTATTATTTATTAATGATTTATAGACTTTTTCATACTTCTTTAATTCTTATCAATTTTATGAAATACGATCTAAAAAGAGTTTTGAAATATAGAGGAAGAAATTTCGACCGGCTCTCATATACAAATAATGTCTTCCTTATATTATATGTCTATAGGATTAAGTAAAAAGGTTGATGAAAAAAATATGTCACAAAATAGAAAGAATAATCTTCTTCTGATTAGTAATAGCAACTGCATTGTATTTTACATTTTTAATCCTACAAAGATTATGCTAACATTTTTCTCATAATAAATAGATAATCGAACTCAATACTATTTCCATAGCCGATTGATCTCTTAGATTTTCAAAAAAATAAAAAAATAATAATATTTTGATAAAAATACCTTCATGCCTTCTGTTTCTCTTGTAATCATAACAATACATTTAACCATTTCTTGTTGTACCATATACCAAAAATCATTAATTGTTGCTGTTAATGGTCCTTGTGCAGCAATATAACCTCTACCAATATTTTCAATAGGTGGACGAATATGATTTGCATTAATATAATCAGTAATTGAATAATTTTTTAAAATAACACGTGTTTCATCATAAGGTAAAATATTTTTAAAACGATTTCTTGTACGATTTTCAAGTTTTTCACCATGTCTTTTATGATACATTAATGATTTACATTCAGATTGTTGATTTAATAATTCAAATTCTAAACTAAAACCAGTACGATGTCCATGTTGTGTTGGAACTAATTTTGATAAATGTTCACAACGTTGATGTATATCACGTGCATGAAACCAATTAGCTGTACATGGTTGTACAAGACGAAATGCTGTACCATTTGTTGCAACAAGTATATTATGTTTTAAATAAAAATGTATTAAATCATCTAATGATTTAAAACGATCAATTTGTTCACGTCGACCTTTACCATCAAGAAACCATTCACCATTTAAACATTTGATTTTAATATTCGCAATATCATTTTGTGTTTTAACACAAATAACATAATCACCTGGTATTGTTTCTGAATCACGAACAAGAAAAAGGCCTATTTGATCACATGCATTTAAAATTGATTCTGTTTGACTATGAGATATTGGTCCATGATAATATCTAAGAAATAGAAAATTGAATCAATAAAAAATTTGTTTAATTTTATTACTTTTCAAGTGTTGGCATTTGTGCTAAAATAGGAACAGTTAATTCAATAATTTCATTATTTTTTTCTCGAAGTTCACCAACATTTTGACGATAATGTTCAATCATATCATATAATGTTGAAAAACATTCTTGTCTTTCACCTAAATCAAATCCATCATTTGTTCGTTGAATACGAATATGTGTAATTTCACCATTTGCTCGTCTTTTTTTTTTAAATAAAACAAAAGAATAAATTTTTTTTGATTAATTTTTTTGTTTTCATACCGAACTGAGAGTACATAAGCATCTGATTTTGTTGTTGATGGACGTACAAGAAAACTACCGGGTATACCTTTTTCTTGAAGAAGTTTTTCAGCTTCTATACCAGATAAATCACGATGAAAAAATCTAAAGATAATTATATGATAAAATACATGATGAAATACATGATGCAATCATGACAATTTCTTATTTACCCGCGTGTTAATCGACCAGCCATGATTTAGTAAAAAATTTCCGTGAAACAATCAAAAAACATTAGATTTTTATTTCAATTAAATATATCGCAAGTTTCAACATATAAAATACATTGATAGTAGTGACTGAACGAAGACATAATTTTAATCGAATCTAACCAATAAGAAAGTTATAGTCACAAAAAAACAATCAATAGAAAAATACAAGTCGAATATAATTATGAATAATATAATTAAAAAAGATGATCGTCGTTTGATAAATTTCATGTTTGAATTCATTTACTATTGATTGTAAGAGGATGCCATCTATTGACTTTAACTTAAATTATTTTCCAGATCTTGCACCATGTAAATATGTGTTGTTGCAAACAACTTCATGAATTATTTGAATAAACAAAAGCATAGAAGAATATTCGATAAATACAATTGAGTGTATGAAATATAATCCCTAAGTCTTTAAGCTTTTTATGAGCGAATTAAAATATCTCCACCATCACTTTTTGATTTCGATAAGTATTTTATATAAGCCATGCATATCTTTGATAAAAAGAAAACTCTAGATTGATATAATAGTTGTACAAACTTTCAAGTTGAATGTTAAATGTTCATCACATGTATAATAAAAAAACAAATCAAGTTAAAGTGGCCTTTATTCACACTTAATATAAATCTATTATCAATTTCAAATGTTCACTTTTAAATAATATATGTGACCGGATATTGGCAAGTCTAAGCTTTGTTTAAATGGTATAGCATATAGACAAATACATTATAAGATGTGCGTTTCAATTCGTTCTCTCAAAAAAAAGAAAGAGTAGTCTATCTGTAATAACTAGCCACAATTTGTTTTTTTTTTATTTGAATGAGTATCTATTTTGTAAAAGTAAATAGGATGAGTTTTAGACAGAAAATGTTTAGTCATTCAACAATATGAGAAAAAAAGAAATTGAGAGCATAAGATGATTGTAAAGAGAAAGATGAGATAACAAAAAAAGAAAAATAACATAAAATTTGTTCACTTTTGTACAATTCTTGCTGAAACCGGTATCTCATAAAAACAACGAAATCCTGTTAGATCCTTCACTCGGCTATTTTATTCATCTGCAGTACCATATCACATAGATTATGGTTGACTCGATGGAATATTAATAACTCGCATTTGACAAATGTTTTGAAAGAAATACTTGAACGGAAGAAAAAACTACTACAATTTATAATTTGTTGTTCCCAAGACAAGCAATCCTTGCACAGGATTCCGATCCGGATTTCGTCGGAATCCGATAAAAACTGACAAAATCCGACAGAATCCTATCAGATTTTGCACGTGTTCGATCAGATCCGACAGTCGGAATCCGGCTCATGGGATTCCGACAAAAATCCGACAAGATACGGACGCAATTATTTGAATCCGACCGAGCGAGAATCACCTGGATTCTAGTTGATGCTTAAAATATGAAGAAAAAAAAGAAGAATGAATATGAACTAAAATGAATTTGTATGCGAAACAAACAGTTAAAATTTGTTTTAAACATAAAGATAGAGTTAATCACAAAAACTTGTATATTTTTGTTCTTGTTTGACGAGCTAAGCTTTGATTGTATTGGACTAGATGCTTCATCTGACATAATACCATTTGTTGGAATTTGTTTATCATTTTGATTGAAAACAGGAACATCTTCAGTTACTCGTTCTTGACCAGATGATGAAGCTGTGTAAGAAAAATAAAAAATATTCCATTGAACTAATGAAAACCTATCTTACTTGTATTTCCAGGCTGTTCTTGATTAGCTCGATTTGTTTAACCAATTGGAATATTGTTTGCAGTATCATCGAGGTTACCATCAGTTGATGATGTTGAACCTAATTATAGTATCGTAATAAAATAAAATAAAAAGATAAAAATATGAAATTTATTTAATAAACTTGTTAGATTATTACCACTTTGTGAACTTAAATGTTGAGTAACATTTGAGTTTGTACCACCTTCTAAATAAAAGATATGAAATGAAAAATTTAATTAACTAACGTTGACATATATTATTATTTAACTTACGTATTCGTTCATTAATCTCAGCTGGTGATTGATTCTCATCGTTGTTATTCACTTCACGAAGATTTACACCTAAATATTTGTATCAGTGTTTTATCTAGGTTTCATTTTTCGGGTGGGCGGCTGGAGTTTTAGGATGGGCTATTACCTAAAAATATTTTTGTTCTATAACAAATTATACAAAACTTAATTTATTTTTGTTTCACAACATAATTAGAATTTTTCTTCTATTAAAGATACAATCTGAAAAAATATCAAAAAAAAAAACATTTAGAGAAAAAGAAAATATAAGTTAAACTGAAATTCTTCGAAGTTTTTTACTTTTCCAGCAATTAATAATTAAATCTTTGATATTATTATCTAAATCACATGGTCCTTCTATTGATATCTTCATTAATTGTTCCAAATGTTCTGTTGTTAAACGATTGCGTAAATCAGTTAATATTCTATTCATTGTACTAAAATCGCGTTCCACTGTTGCTGTACTAATTGGTGCACATAAAAATATTTCAGCAGCTAAAGATAATTGTGGATACATATCTTTTAACATTCCATTTTTAACTAAATTAATACATTGTTGTCGTTGTGATAAACTTGTTGATGTTTGTTGTTGTTTTTGCACGAATAAATATTTACGAAATACTTTCCATTCGCTGAGTAAGTTGTCATTAAAATCATTAGGATATTGGTTTTTGATCATATTAATCTGTTGTACACCATATTCTGGTTCATCAGTTACTTCAGCAACATCAAATATACGAAAACAATTGAGGAATTGTAAAACATTTGATTCAAATCTAGCACGTAGATTTGATATAATTTTATCAATAAATTTAACTATTTTATCATTAAATTGTTGTTGTAAACTAACTTCATTTGTTCTTGTTGTTGTACGTGTTGCACGTTTACGACCATCATCATTAGATGATGTCTTTATTTTATCAACAATTTCAAATATTTGTTGATATTCAGTAATATTAATATCTTTTAATTCTTCTAATCGTAATAATGTTCCAAGCATTGATTGTTCAAGTTGACTAAAATCTGCATTTTTTGTTTATATGGATTTCGATAAAATTGAAAGTGCTTCAAAAATTGGTTCTAAACTATGAAGTAAGAATATTGTCAATTGATTTTCTAAGATTGAAAGTAGACCAGCTGCAGTTGGACTTTCTTCATCTCTTTCATTAGATATATGTTCTAATGTTATCATTAAAGGTTCATAACAACGAAGAATAACACTAATTGAACGAAAATATGATAACCATCGTGTATCACCGGGTCGAATTAATTTTATTTGTGGACATTGTAATAATGCTTGAATATCATTAAAACGTGCTAATCGGATGGATGATCGATTAATAAAACTAATTAAAGATTTCAATGTTGATAAACATTCTTCTACTTCAGGTATATGTTCACATGCATCTAATAAACATAACTGTAAAATATGACCACGACAATGAATAAATAGTATTGAATCTGAATATATCTGGCGAAATTTTGCAGATACACCATTAAATTCTCCACTAAACACCGATGCACCATCAAAGCCAGTAAAACGAATTTTTGTCATATCAATATGTTTAGCTTCTAATTCTTTAACAATTGTATCAAATATTGTTTGAGCATCTTTATCTTTTATTTTTAATAAACTGATAAATGATTCTGTTGGTTCACCTAAAAGTATGAATATTCACGTAAGAAAATTTTCCTCAAAACTGGTCGTTCGGATGCAAAAGCGCATCAAATATCTCATAACAATTTTAGGCAAGAATTTTTAATATAATCGACAGCATGGAAGGTGCAGAGTAGATTTTTTTCGAGCACTGATTTTCCAAAACAGTTTAGATAATGATCAAAGATTGCTAACACTTTCCAATACCTACAAAAGAATGGTGAGAAAGGATAGACTTACCTGTATCTTGATTACAATAACGTATACAGATCGATAAATTTTGATGACGATTTATGTCTGTACCTTCGTCAGCCATGATTGAAATAACTCTTGATTCACGAATTTTTCTTAATATTTGTTCATCTATTATTTCACTAATTGCTTGTAATAATTCTGTAACTGTTGTTGTACTGTCATAGCTGGCATTCTTTTGACATTTATCAAAAAATGATGATAATTTTTTACTATGATCAGTTTTTGCTAATAATTCCAATAATGATGAATATAATGTTGTATGTGGTAATTCATGTTTAAATAAAAAATAAGCAGCATCTAATAAATCACCAAATCTTTGACGATTTTCTTGACGTTCTAATTCACTAACATTAAGTAATTGTTCTATTACTGATCCTTCCTGCTGCCGATATGATAAATTTTGTACAGCTGTTTTATGATAAGAAGATTGTTGGTGTTTTTCTAAACTTCCATTTGGACCAGGTGCAGCTTTCCAATTAATAAACGGTTGTGTAGCAAAAGCACCTTTAGTTCTTGCGTTCATTTCAGAATAAAATGGTATTGTTGGTTTCCAGTAATCGCGACATATGCGACAAAATCCACCTTGATTTGGTTCATGTATAAGCCATTTATAATTATCTGAATACCATTTTTGATATCTACGTTTTTTATTATCATTTGCTGTTGTATTTGCTGTGGTGGATAACGGACAATTTTCATTAATATTTGGTTGAGTATCACGTGATGGTTCAGTATTTGAAATTGTTTGTGTAGTTGTTACATTATCATTTAAAATATTATTTAAATTATCATTTAATTTATTTTTTTTTGCTAAATTATTGTCCGATTCTTCAACAATTGCTTTTCTTTTAAAATATAAAGTTAGAGATTTTTGTGCTGATGACATTTGTTTAAAGATAGATCGAATATAAGTGAAATCAAAAGAATATATTGATGTGAGATATGTGACGTAACAGGACAAATATCGTGACCGAAAAATGATTTTTCTCTTTTTTGTTCTTTTTATATCTATCGCTGTCTCACGAAAAATCGCCTATTCAATGAATAGCCGAACTGATTTAGTCCAACTGAGTTATAAATGTAATAATCATATCAGTCAATTCTGTTTGTTCTCATTGAGAAAAGACAATTTATATATGATTGATTTATGAATGCGTATAGACAACAGCATGGTGATTAAGACAATAGACACAACACCAATTTTTTTTATACATTAATTTTATATTTTAGGATGGGCAAAATGAAATTTAGGGCGGGCGCCGCCTACCCAGCCCACCCACTGGATAAAACACTGATTTGTATCAAATATTATCTAGCAGGAAATATTATTATATCAACGTTGAAAATACCAGGTTCTGTAACTTCAACACCCATATAATCGATCACCTCAGTTTGTGTTGTTGCATCTTCAACAAAATAAACATTTTTATTATTTATGCTAAAATAGGTCTATAAACTCATCAGAACTTTTCTTTTATGTGCTTGTCTATCTTCTATAAGCGTTATATTACTATTACTTTATATTACCATTAATAGATATTTAGTAATAATTGTTATTAGTTTATATAGAAATTTTCTTTTTTTGTTGTACATTACTTTTCGGACTTTCAAACTGTTATTGGTTTGTAACCAGTAACAAAAAAATAAGAAAATTTTATTACTGATTACTGACATCAAAGTATGAAAATAATGAAAAATAATTCGTAATAAAATAATTATTAAAGTAATAAATAAAGTATGACATAGGTATTACAAAAGTACATAAGCTCGAGTAATGGGCTCAGATTAAATGAATGAAAAACTTATTCAAATAGATTAGCAGATCCTTTTACAGTTTAAATTGCCGTATAATACTAGACCGACTGATATACTGATACGAGTCATTATTCACTTTTCTAATCCTATAAAAAGATGTAGTTCTCATACATTTTCACGGGTACTCGCAACCATATACTCACCCTCTCAGGGTATGGTGATCATAGAAAAAAGTTAGAAATAGAAAATACATGTTCAACTGATGTTGATGTAGCACGAATATACGTAACTTTTCTAGCAAGCTAATCAAGTAGAAGACTACAAAATCGTCATTCTTTAGTGCAATCATTAAATGCTGTTACAAGAACAATAATAAATACATGAATGAATATTGATGCACTTTCGAAGGATTTGTTCATATGCTGTTCTATCTTTCAATGAAAAATATCATGTCTAAGTGAGACTATAGTTGGTTATTGCTCAGAAATGGTGTTTACTAAGATCTTGACAAAATATATGATCGCCATATAGTCATATGCTTTTTGTCTATGTAATCCTTGTCTTATAAATCAAAGTATGGCAATAGCATCGATTGAAAATTAAAAAAAAACACAAATCATCGTCAAAAATATATTGCTATTCAAAGTGATTAGTCGCGCTTTCCTATTATTTTAACTCAAAATGCAGAATGAGAAGCATCGCTCGGTTAAAGGGATGAAATTGGGAACGGGGCAGAATTGGAAGTAGCTTGCCTTATATTCATAGGAGATTGGATAATACTTGAATTTCGATAAATGATAGATTGTTTAATGCAGCAATGTTGATTCTATTCCGAAAATTAAAAAATTAGCTTTTTTGGTAAAGACTCGCAGAATCATAAATCAATGAACGCTGTTCGAGTTGCATATCTATTGAGATGCAAGTGATTTCAAGGATCTGTTAATCTCTAGATGATTTTCTTCAAAATATTACTCCAACTACAATTGATTCCTATCACTGAATATTCTTAATAAAACTCGTCTGTCAAATCAATATCGAAATTCCCATTGAACTGATGATTTACTTTTAAATGAAAAAGAACTCTTTTTGTACTTGTGATGATAGATGGAGATAAAATAATCGATTCCATCACTTACGAGGAAAAATTAGATAGGTTTACAAAATCGACCTATGGGCATCATAGATGATACAATTCAAAGCACCACCGGCACTAGAGTTTTGGATCTACGATCGATTCAACAACTTGTCTATACTCAGTTTTTAATGTTGAATCTGAAAAAAATATTTTCAGAAACTCAAAAAAAGGAATGAAATAGAAAATTTCGCACATTTTTGGAAAAAATGCTTTTTTTTTGATGAAAACGGCATTTTTTCAACATTTCGAATTTTCGACCGGAAGAAAGCGTTTACTGAGGCTAAAAACCTGATATTCATGATCAACAGCTCAAGTTCTATCAGATGATCTGAAAAACAGTCGAAAAAAAAATCTTACTTGAATTTCGAATTGTTTGTACCTTATCTTTAATGTCGTTTATAATTGAAAATAAACTTTTAAGTGACAATGAAAGAGAAAGAAATCTGAAGTTCAGAAAGCACATGTACACTTAAGGAAATGCAAGTAGCTGTCAATATCAACTTACATTGCTGGCAGTAAGTTGATAGAGTTAATCCAATAGAAAATAGGACATTGATTTCTTTTTGAGCAGAATGCCTCTGTAGAGATGACAATTATAGAAGGAATAGCAGGAGATTTCCCTTCATAAATTAGAGGATTTTATTGGTTTAGTTGCGCTTCTGACAAATGTTCAGAAGAAGATATCCTTTCTCAGACAAAATATCATAGAAAGTCGATGATTTCAGCATGTTTTGCATGATATCGCCAAAAAGATGAACAAAGACACTACCTGTAAAAAATTTGGTACTTTCTTCTGAATATCCAGCTCCATTCACTCTCAAAAACAATCGGAAATCGTTCGCTCTTGACTATCGAATTGTCATAAGCTTATCTTCAATTTTTACATTCACGTAATAGATTTGTTCTTTAGAGTAATTATTTCTTAGCCTCTCAATTTTTTTGTATTTTTCAACATGATGATGGAGAATTACTTATGCTCGTAAGTGAATATGTAGTTTCAATGTTTGTACAGCACTTTTATGTGATCTCATATGATCAATTCTGGATTCCATAAAGAGAAGATGCATTCTGAAAGCAAGATGTATTTTATAGTATTATAATATACTGAAATTTCAATTGAAACACTCAGGAAGAAGCTATATAATAGATTCAGGATGATTTTGAAAGAGGAAAGCCTCTATAGAGCTACTACTGTTCGATTCATGAAATTTTTTAGAAATGTACTCAAGTGGATATAATTTCACAAAATCGCATGTTAATATTTAAACGTCAGGAAAAGCGTGGTCGTGTAAACACAAGAAGATTTGATTTTTTAGATGTGAGTGCGATTAAAATTTTCTCAACTCGCATCAATGGACGCATAAACGCTGGGAATATATATTTTTTTTAACCTTTTAATGCTCAGTTCTTTTCTCATGCGTGTAAGTTCTTAGGAAGTCTGATTATCATGCCTTTTTCCTCCACATATCTATTAGCGAGAGTAGTATATTAAATAATCAACGTGTTAATACTAATAGATCGGATTTTACAACAGTTTGTTTTCTGTAAAATTAGTCTGCTTACTTAACTCAGGCAGTACAACATGATAACGAAGAAATAGGGAGCACCATGCTTGTTTTACAGAATACAGTTTTCATTTTTTACTTACCTGATTTTCTTCTTTTGTTTTATGCTTTTGAAATGAGGAATGGTATATAAAAGCACATACACATACAAACGATCATTAGTTTTTTAGCGTTTTAACATATGAGCAGAAAAATCCTTTGTTAACAATGTCAAATCATAGGTTAGGCCGTCTCAACGTGGGTTGTGGAGTTTGTGAGGGTAGCGGGTGTGGATGCAGATAATAATCTTATCTTCATTCACACTCACCTCACACCCACACCCACACCCACACCCTCTAGCTTTATATTTCGAATGTTCATCAAAAAATTACTTTGATTACAAAGCACAATGAATAATAGAATAAAGTCATCTGCAATGCAAATTGTCCCAAAGATGAACTCAAGGATGAAACATTTATGTCACCCAGAGTGCTAACTACGTTGGCAATCATTGCTTCAAAATTTTCAAAGCGAACATCTAGTTTGTTCAATTGTTCCTGCTTTTCACTTTCGTTCAGAAAAGCAAATCGAATACTATTGTACACCAATACTTTCAATTCTGCGTAGCTTGGTCTATAGCGATCACAAAACATCAGGTATTCATTGCTCAAAGTTGAGCGTGATATACCTGCATCATCCGTGGCAATCACTAATGGTACGCCATGAGCTTTATATAGTAACATGGGATGTGCGTCGTTTTTAACACCCAGTATGAATGCATTGCTACTGATAAGCACTTCGACTACTATATTGAGCTGCTTCATCTTTTGCAATAGCTCATAGGCATTGTGCTCGTAAAATATATCGATACCATGTCCAATGCGATTTGCCCCAGCAATTTCTATCGCTTCACGTACGTGAAATTGCAAACCTTCTGGAGGCACTAGACCTAGCACCAGCTCCCCTGCATGCATTGCAAGTTTTACAGCGGGAAACCGTTGCTTGAGAAAGCGAAACATTTTCATATGCAATGTGTAGTCTCGCATCGATACGATACCATTTTCTATACCGACAATATTAACACCGACTATTAGATCACTGCGCATGGCGGCCGAAAAAGCAGAGAATAGACTGCCAAACACCTGAGAAGGCGAACCACCTCTGGATACATAAGTTTGGAAATGTAATGTAAAATTTGCATCGTTAATTCCAGTTGCTGATGTTTCAATTGTTTTCACATAATTGTTGATTGTTGCATTGACATTAGTATCATTTACAACCATGTTAAAATAGGTTGTGAGTACCCGATCTATTTCGGAGTCGTTGGATTTCGAAGTCAAAGAATTCAACATGGCATTTAATTCATTTACGACAACTATATTTGGGCCACCTCTCAGCATCGTTTCTATATATTGTACATTTTCACTCATGGCTGTATTTTTTAACCACATT